GGCATTAGAAGAAAGAGGGATTAGGGAAGGCTTCTGCAAGGGACAAGGTATCATGCTCCCACAATTTAAGATAACCTTTGAAATCTTACAACATCAGCAAAGAAGTTACACTGTTTTAATAAGCTTGCAAAACCTTGAAAGGGCAAGCCAATGAGAACGGCCCTAATTTTTTGATAGACCCCAAAGTTTTAGAGGGAAGAACTGGTTTTAACCAGCCCTAAGTAGGACAAAGGGCACAGGCTTTTGGATGAGGAGGGTTAAGGGGGGGGCACATCGAGGGGACATGAGATGGGTGGACTTGTAAGACTGTAACCGTAAAGGAACGGACCAATCCAGGCCTGGAAGGGAGGAGTCTTGGTGTTCTAACAGTATAAAATTTTTTGTCAATTCTGTAATCGGCTCAGTCTCTTCTGAGAGATGTGCCCAGTTCTCTTTCAAGAACCGTAAATAAACGATTCTTCACTCACTCTGAGCTTAGTTTTGTTTTTAACTAGAAGGCCTTATTTCTAACACTTCTATAGAAGGTGGGATTTTAGTAAGGGTGTGATTTGGTCAGACCTGTTTTTAAAAAAAAATCAATCTGCCAGCTGTGGGAAGAATGGGTTAGAAGAGAAAGACTAAAAGTAGGATGACAAACTAGGAGACCAAGACAGTTCAGACAAGAAACAATGACAGCCTGAGATAGCTTGTGTAAGTGGAGATAGGATGGACATGAGAGATGTGCAGGGAGATCTAAGGAGATACGGCAACTGTTTGCATATTAGGGAGTGGGAAGAATCAAAGATGACTCGGAGGTTGTTGGAACAGTGACTGGAAGGATGGTGGTGTCTCCAAACAGCAACAGGGAGGTTTGTGGAGATGGTGGAAGTAGAGACAAGGTCAAGAAAGAGATTTAGGCTAGATACAAGGTTTTGGGAGAAAGAGGCATAAAATGACAATTTAATTCAAGGGACACTGAGGGTATAGAGCCTTGGGGATTTCAACACTTAGCATGAAGAAGAAGGATGATGATCCAGCAAAGGGGTCAAACACATAATACAGTCAACCTGAATTCAAGAGAAAACAGCCAATACAGCAAAATGGACGACTTTAATCAAGCTTTATATAAGGACATCACATAGGCAGAGAGAATAGCCAAGCTGTAGGTGGGAAGAATTGGGGGTGGTGTCACACAGTTTTCACCAGGTAAATTGTTTTGCATAATAAGCAAAAGTCCCCAGAGAAAGCTTGGAAATCTCTGAAGGGGACAGTCTGAGAGATGTGCAAAATAACCAGAGGCTAGAAGTACCTAAAACTGGTCAGCCCCAGGCAACTCATTGGTCTGAGAAAAGGAGACAAGGTCAGTTTGGCAAGGTCAACTCCCAAAGATGATGTAGTAGACAAAGTGCTTCTCAAGTCAGGAAGACCTGAATTCAAATTCTACCTACTGTGGCCTTTAATAAGATTTGAGGGACATAGATTTGGTAATTTAGTAATTTTATTAATAATGCCAGCAGGTTGTTAATCAAAGTCTAGTCATTCGGCTGTCTCTCTTGGACCAAAGACAATCATGGCAGTGCACTCACAGTTTATATGCCCTTCAAAACAGCAGGTGGGCCATCAAACAGCAATCAAATCTAACTGGTTGACTTGATTGGATGTGGGCTACATTAAAATGAAAGGCTGAGTATCTCTTGGATAGGGAAATGAGTTCAAATCTGGCTTCAGATACTTACTAGCTGGGTGTGACCCTGGACAAGTCACTTAACCCTGTTTGCCTCAGTTTCTTCACCTATAAAATGAGCTGGAGAAGGAAATGGCAAACCGCTCCAATGTCTGTGCCAAGAAAATTCCAAATGGGGTCACCAAGAGTCAGACATGGCTGAAATGACTGAACAATTATATGCCAGGCACTGTCCTAGGCACTGGAGACACAAAGATGAAAATGAAACAGATTCAGCCCTCTGGAAGCTTATATTCTATCAAGGGGAGGGGCAACATGTACAGATATTGCATATACATATATATATAGATATATATAGATATATAGATATATATAGATATATAGATATGCTGAGGTTTGGGGGTGCTGGGACTCCAAAACAGTGTCACAGGTCCTGCCAGAGTGAATTTGACCCAAGGCTTCTTTCAGCCAAAGACAAGGTTTATTGGAACACTGACTGGGGTAAGCGAGATTCCTAGAGAGTCTGTGTTATTGGCTAGATCTTAAGAATCTGAGCTCTTTAATGGAGGCAAGAAGGATCTTACATACAGAAAGACTGTGGGAGGGATCTAGGAGTGGATAAGTTGTGTTGTGGGGGGGGCTGAAGGAGGGGTCTAGGGAGGATCTTGATGGGAGTGGCCTATAGTCTCTGGGTGACTGTGAGGTAACAGAACTCCTGGGACCTGGATCACTAGTCCAAGGGAGAATGGAATCTAGATAGGATTAAGGATGGCAAGTAGCCAGAGGCCATAGGTAAGGGGCAGTGAAGAGCTGGGAACAGATAATTGGGAGATTGGGTTAAGCTACAAAGAAAGGCCAGTTGAGAGGATTATAGCCTCAGGGGAACTCCAGAGACTTGACCTTGTGGAAAAAGGAGAAAACTCAAGGAAAGTTGGAGGTGGGAAGGTTTCCAGGGCCTATACCCTGTCAGATATAACATACAAATTAACATAAGGAATGCAATGGAAGCGAGAAGCACTTGGGCAGCTTCAGGTTATCACAGCAGGAAAGGCTTCAACTAAGAGGAGAGCTTTGAAAAACTAGGGATTCCAGGAGTTGAATACAAGGAGGGCATGCATTTCAAGCTTTGAGGAAAGACTATGCAAATACATAGGGATGAGAACTGTATATATTATGTACAGGAATGCTTAGAAGGCCAGTTTGATTGGAATAGAGAATGTATGAAGGGTAGTAATGTGTAATAAACTTGGAAAAGTTTATCAATGTCTGATAAGCTTTGTGAAGGGCTTTAAATACCAAACAAAGGAGTTTGTATTTTGTTTTAGGGGTAATAGGCAGCCATTTGAGATTACTGAGCAGAAGAATGACATTAGACCTGTGCTTCTGGAATATTAGTTGGGCAGGCATATTGAAGATGGATCAGGTAAGAGACTTCAGGCAGGGAAAAGAACCATTATAGAAATAAGACAAAGAAAGGACCTTTCTGTTAGAGATCTAGTTATTCTGCAAGCAACACGTGGTAAAGGAGCTGTTGTAAAATGCTCTGCAAACCTGAGGATACAATATCCACAGCAGTGGTTATGATTCTGAAACTCTAGCTTATACCACTGGGTTTGCCTAGTCCTTGAACTACTGTGTTGTATGGAGTAGCAGTCAGAGGAATAGAATTTGAATCCTGACAGTTAAAGTATTTAGTTAGCTACTAATCTTAATCTCTATCTAATTTAGTTTCCTTATCTGTAAAATGAGGTGAGACTAAATGTTAGTAGATAAGGAAGTTAGCTCACTTATAGCTATGGGTTAAAAAACAGAACACCTGTATTAGATGGATATGTTTTGACCTTGCTGGGGAGAAAGGAGAGGCTGGGCTTATTACCACCCTCCTCTACCTAGACACCCTTTCCAATCAATTCAGCAAAAATAAAACAGTCCTATCCTTTAAGTTTACATTCTACTGGAGGGATGCAACATGTACACATACAAATAAAGGTAAATACTAAGCAATTTCAAGAGAGAAAAAACATTAACATTGTCATCCATTGGTCTAACCCAGGGGTGGGGAACCTGTGGCCTTGAGGCCCTGGTCTAACCATTTACCCAGCTATATTCCAACCATATACACACCAGTCATCTTCCCTTCACTAATGATCACAGTATCTCTACTCTGCAGACCCCTGATCAAAATCTGGCAAAGGAGAGTAGGGAAACTCAAGACTTTGTGACATGCCAAGGATCTTTTCTTGTATACCACAGGATCTAAATGCATTTGTTGTTGCATTGGGGATATCGTATTGACTCATACTTTCTTATTCCCATTGGGCACATGGACATATTTCTAAACTAAGTTGGCTCTGTGTTGTATGGGAAATACAGATGTCTTAGTTTGTTGCACAATTTAATTAACTTAGGTTAACTACTGAACTATGAAATACGGCATTCCACCCAATTTTTTTTTTTAACCACGAGAGGCTGGGAGTAACAATGGGATATTTACAAAATAATCAGAGACTATGGAGCTAAGAAGTTTCTAGAGGTAAGGGAGGATGCTTAATATGGAGTTAGCCAGTCAGGAAGACCATCAAAGACAGAAATTACTTTCATTTCAGCCTCTATGGATCTAGTTTATGCCTATTCTATACTGGCATCTGTGACGTTATCTTTGAAACTGAAGAGGAGGGAGGACAGTAGAAGGAGGAGTAGAATTTTGGATTTTATTTCCTGTTTCCAGGTGAGAAGGGGGCAAATTCCAGAAGGAATGAGATAAAAACCTAAGGGTGGAGTGGGTTTAGAGAGAAAGCCTCTGAAAGAAGTCAGAAGGGAGGGGTATGATCTACAGAAAGGTAAGTTCTTAGTCTCGATGCTTGGTAAAAACTCTTCCCAATGGCTAAAAAGTATCCTGCAAATAGTAGGAGCTTAGTAAATGTTTGTTGATTTGAACAGGATGAGTCTAAAACTGACTACTAATTATTAAACCAAGTAGATATTCACACATATCTTAAAGTTTAAGATTTATATTATTTTGATGAGTGAAGAGGGAACATAGAACTGTAATTTCATTGGTGTGAAAACTCCTTCCAAAATCTTCAACTATAATGTAATTTTTAGCCTTAGAGTGTGGCTTAGGATACTGACAGGTAAGATGATTTGCCTATAGTCACATAGTTACAGTATGTCAGAGGAAGGACTTGAACCCAGGTGTCCCTAGTCCCTACGCAGTCCTCTCATATACAAAATAATAATAATTACATATAGGCCTCTGAGGCTGAGTAGTTTCTATAAACAGCTTGCTTAGAGACAAGAATTTTTTTTTTTGGTGGGTGAAGGCATCCATCCTTACCTTACATATAACATGAAGCTTATCAGACATTGAGTCAAACTCTACCAGGCACATTAAATGTTATGGAGTGGGAAGACTAAACAGAATGATGAGCTCTTTTGCTCCCATGAATTTGATTTTCTGTACAGAAAGCTCCCAAGCTTTTATGTGTAAGTTGCTGGATATCTCCACAGGATATCTGTAGGTGAAATCAAATTAATATGATCAAAATAGAACTCCTCATTTTCCCTTTTAAACCCACTCTTCTTCCAAATATCAGCATCCCCCTAGTTATCCAGATATGAGGTCATTGAGGTCATCTTTGATTTTTCCTTTCCATTACTTGCTATATATTCAAAGAGTTAAAAATCTTGTCTTCTACGTCTATATTTCTTACATCTGTCCCCTTTTCTCCAATTATAAGAACATCCTTTTTATTGAAGGCCTATCACAAGTTGAGAGCCTGGACTACTCTAACAGACTTCTAACTGGCCACCTCAACGACAATCTCTCTCCACCATAAACCATTTTCCACACAGTAATTTCCCTAATCCACAGGTTAGACTCATGTTTTACATCCTGGTGAGAGGATTGAGATTAATACAGCAAGTGGTAGGGGAAACTGGATGAACTACACAGATTCCAATTCTGAAGCTAGCTCAGTTCCCCCAATAGAAATTTTCTTATGAGAAAACTTTATCCAATTGTAGGAATTGTGAGAGAATGTTAACCCTAACCCTTGCATAGCTAGGAAGATAGACCACCTTCACCTGTTGCTTAGAGATCCTTAACTGAAGACCTAGTTATGCTGACCAGAAATTTGGTCAGACCCAAAGTTTGATGCAAGGAGTTTTCTCATATATCTCCAGCAACCCATATGTCTTATCTAAAAACTGGCCCCATACTGCTCAATCAGCTATTGTTTCTGTGTTCCTTTGATCATTTACAGACACTTGGGGGAGTGAGATATCTCTTTTTCTGTATTCAGGAAATTGTACCTGTTCATTCTCCCCCTTCCAACTTGGAAAGTCCCTAATCTTTCTCTAATTAGAAATCAGATTACCTAATTTTATATCATGGTAAATTGTTTTATTTTAATTAACTGGTCTTCTTTGATTGTTTTTAACAATTATCTCCCCTGGTATTTGGGGACTAGTGCCAAAGCTGAGAAAGGCAACTAGTTCAAATTTGTTAGGCAATTGACATACATTATTTAATAAATGGATATGTTTGTAAGCCTGAACCTTTCCTTCCTCAGTCATTTCATTTTTCACCCACTACAGTTTTTGATGAACTGAGCTAACTGAAGTGAGGACTCTGACCCCTGGGCCAAACACCTTCCAGAAAAACTCCCTAGAGTACTCTGGTTAATCTTTCACCTTCATCGAGGGACTTTTTCATGGAAGATGGCCCTGAAGGTCAGACTCCTGCTCTCGATCCCAAATTCTTCTGAGCTAAGGTAAGGTTTAGGGGTAGGTTTAGGAATTAGCTTAGGTTTCAGTTTAGTTTTTCCCCAGCAGAAGTTTAAGATTTAAGTCTAAGATCCCCAGAAGAGGAATGTTTAGGGTTAACTTTAAGATTAAATTAAGGTTAAATTTAAGGTAAGGATTAGGTTTTCTCTTGGGGAGGCATTATGGGTTCAAGTGGTAGTAAAATATTGGTGAGTTCCCCCTTAAATAAACTTTTGGTAGTGTGGGATCAGGGAGTCTGATAGTTATGGAAGTGATTGAACAGCAGGCTATTGAGTTACGTGATACATGGCATAAATCTGCACGGGATTCAAGTGGTAATTTGTCCTGGCCCCAATTTGGCTCTACATTGTTGCAAGCTGAAGAAATTAAGGCTAGTTAATGAAAAATCTTATTCTGATCATATGAACTATTGGTTTTGCTGGGGCAGCTTTAAGTGATGGCTTCTTCTTTATGCCCAGTTCTCCGTACTCCTCATCAGCCTCTTAGGTGTTTCTCTTAACATTTTGTCTGTTTTTTTTTTTCCTGGAAAAATCTTTGTCTTGTGTTGTGTTTAGTGTTTGTTTAGTGACAGATTTCTAAAGGGAAAATAGGGGAAGATTAATAATGTTTCATTCTTAAAGTAGTAGTCCCAGTAAGTAGGAATAATTCTCACTTTAGATTTTCAACGGGAGATAAAAAGAAAAAAAACCCCGCAAGATACTTTTTCTCTGTCATTTCATCCTTAGCCACATTGGAATTACAGAGATTAAGTCAGGTCAAAGAAAGGAAAAATTTTTTCTTGGTTTGTAGAACTAATAAAAATATCTTAGTAGATTTTGGAGATTTAGAGATTAAGGAGATTGGACATTAATCATTATAAATATTTTGATGAGTTTTGAGGTGCCACTGAAGAATTTGTTTTAAGGAAAACTAACAACTAAATTCTGCAAAAGTTTTAGGGGAAAACAGAACTTAGATAAAATTTCCCCTGAAGATTGATGGACTTATTGTTTCAGTGTAATGAAGGAAAGCAGCTTGTTTGAAAGTAATCGCAGAGTGAAAAAAAATTAAAAAAAATCTATACAAACACATACACACATACATATGAGGTTTGTAGTCTGCCTCTTATTAACCTTTCCCTGACCATGAAAAGAGAAAAGATTGTTTAAATCAGGGAGCAACTTAAAAATGACTAAAATTTAATTAAGAAACGGAAAGAGTGATTTAAACTGAAAAGAGGCCGATGAAGAGGGACCCCACCTCCCACCCCAGCTCAGAGATCCTTCTCCTGACTCCTATCCCAGATCAGGGACTCCCTGACCCCAACCCCTAGCCTCCATCCCAGCTCAGCTGACTCCTATTCCAGATCAAGGAACTCTTCAGCACCCCAATCCCAGCTCAGAGATTCTACTCTAACTCCCACCCCAGCTCGAAGACCCCTTGTGACTCCTCCAGCTCAGAGACTCTCCCCTTTTGGCCCTGTTAACTAACCCCTCTCATCTCAGATCTGTTTCATAAATAAAGTATGCTCAACAACAACAAAAAGCTTGAGGTACACCATCTTAAACAAGGTATCTTATCTCTATTTGCCTCAATTTTCTGATATGTAAAGAGGAAAATAATAATGGTACCCACCTCCCAGGGTTATTGTGAGGATCAAAATAATTACTGTAAAGTACTTGACACAGAAAGTGGCATATGGTAAGCACTCTATATAAATATTGACTATTATTATTATTTAATTATTCCATATCTGATAATTGTACACCAGATCTTAGATGCGATTAGTATAAAATGCTCAAGGTAATAAGATTAATGATTTTCTATGTAAAATAGTGTAGAAATGCATTAAACTGAATTACTGTCATCTGACTAATAAGTTTTGTTTTATGTTTTAAATACATGGCATCATATATGTTATTGTTGGGTTTCTGAAAATTTCTCCTATATGTTTAAATTTGGGACATCATTGCATCAGAAATGCTGTTAAAAAGATAATTTCTTTTTTTATCTGGATGCTGCTAAATTATGAATTGAGCTTTAAAAATAGATATTTGAAATATTTAATGGGGCATATTCTGTTTTAAAACAGATAATAATATACTTTCTATAATAAAATGAGTTTTCATTTGAAAATTTCTGGCTAATACAGAAATTATGAAAATGAATAAGGTGTTTTAAAGATAACTTCAATACACAACATGAGTCAACTACTGGGTATTTGCTATATGTCTGAAACACCAGAATGAGGTTAGTTTTAATTTATAAATAAATGATAAATGAAATGTAACTGTTAAACATAAGAAATTAATAATATTCAAGGCCTAAGCTGTGGTTAGTGAAATTTTGCTATTTGAGGTAAAAACTCTTGGAACTATAATTCACTACTGTTTTGAGTTTTTGATTACAGGGATGGTTATCTGAATTGTCATGCCAACAGTAGAAAGTGGCATGTGCTGCAGCCTGAGAACTGCTACAGGCGGATGTCTGTCCCTGGGAATAGTTGAGGGGATGCCTTTGGTGTGGCCTAAAATAGGATCCTTTTAACTTAGTTTTCCCATTGTGTTATTTACTTTCTGTTTTGTTTTGTTTTTTTAGGCGATGGGGTTAAGTGACTTGCCCAGGGTCACACAGCTAGTAAGTGTTACATGTCTGAGGTCAAATTTGAACTCAGGTCCTCCTGAATCCAGGGCCGGTGCTCTATCCACTGCACCACCTAACTGCTTCTTGTGTTATTTACTTTCTGAAGAGGAAGTTCCCCCACCTGGTTAGCCTGGCTTTTGATACTCTGTGATTACATGATTAGCTGTAAGATATGACTCGTGTCTGGAATCAAACAGAACTAAGGGCATTTTCATCTTGTTATAGTATATGTCAGGTGAGTCTGTGCCCTTGAGGGGACGAGTCTTAATACTGTTATAATTATTTCCCTCCTTTCCTTTTATAACCAATTTTTATAATCAGGGTAAGTGAACAGAAGAAGCTTTGTTAAGCACAATACTAAATCTGTTAATTAATAGATTGATGCTGGAATATATCTGAGTTACTCTACCAGAATTCAAGTATGAAAAAACTTACAATTTTAAACTGTATTTGTGATCAAATTAAAATATAGGGATGACATCCTCCAAAGGGGGGATTAGACAAAGTAATAAGACAAAGATATAATGTAAAAATTTGCTAATAAAACAGAATAATAAATTTCAAGAATGCAACAGGATGAGATTGTTTTCTCTAAGAAAGATATATATATATATATATATGTATATATATATATGAGATTGGCTTCTAAATGTAGTAGGGAATGTTTTGGTATTAAGTTCTCAAAATTGGATTAAGGATTTTACATACAAAATTGTATTGATAATTGTAAAGAAAGTTGAAATTATTTTCTGATATAACAAAAATGTTTGTTTCATAAAATTGAAACAACTACTAGAAAAGTAACTAAGTAAAACTGGATTCAGCCAGTCTTATCTTGTTTTGCTGGTAGAAGTCAGTAAGTAGGACAAAGGTTAAGCTTTACTTAGAGTGAGCATGCTTAATAGGCTCATCAATACTAACTTCTCCACCTCCAGGCGGGGTTAAGACACCATTTTCTGAACATGTGATGTATGTAGAAGGAGGGAAGATATGTCAAGAAGTAGATGGGTAGAAGGTGTGCTGGAAAGTTGTACACTCTGGAGTACTCAGCCAGTGAGAAAACAGAGGAGGGACTCTGCAGCTGGGATTAGAAATAGGGAACTCTTGATCTGGTGTGTATATGTCAGGACATCTGCTTTTGTAACTGTATAATAAACTGGGCTTTTAACTTCATCCTTCCTGAGTCTGAATGAGTTATTTCTCATATTTTCCCATTTTAAAAATATCTGTCTGCTACTTTTAAAAGACAGAAGAATTCATATTGTAAGTTAGACCCTCATGAATTTTTAAAAAAGATTCTTATATCAAGTACAGGGTTTAGGTAGAAACAGCAGTATATAAAAACTGAAAATCTCTCAAGTCTCAGGTCAATTATAGGTTCCTACTTTGATGTTTTTCTTATAGCTCTGTAGTTAATCAGATTAGCTCCATGAGGTGTGAGTTGGTTTTCATCACATGAACTAGTTAATGGAAAACCAAATGTAGTAGGATATATTAGACTGTATTGTCTTGTTACTAGCAGATTTTAGGAGAATTACCTAATAATTTCGAACCAGAGAAGTAGAGCCCCATTCAGAGCTGCCCTGAGAATGAAGCCTATTCCAGAACATCCCAGAGAAGATATCCAGGAAGGAACATGGGATATCTGGGACTCAAGATGTGCTATTTACATGGATACAGGGAGTGGGTTACTGGAATACAAAGAGATTTGACGTTAGTTAATACTGATCATTATCGTACTGTTTTGATCTTTTGTTTTGTGGTGTTTATGTTTTAAGATTTCTTGGTTACCCTGGTGACATGTAAAATTCTCTCCTCAAAATTAGTCCATTGTCAACCCTCTGAATAGTTTGATCTGTAGCCTGACTTATATAACTCTGATTATGAATACATGAAAAACTTATAGATTTGACTTACAGGTAAATGATCCATGGGTGGGAGTGGGTTGCCACCCCAGTATTGGGAATTGGATGAACCACACTGACTCCATCTTGGGACTCAACTTTGGAGCTAGCTCAGTTCCTTTTTTATTCAATTATGGGTCTAGTCCAATTTCTGTCTTATGAGAAAACTTTATCCAATTGTAGGAATTGTGAGAGAATGTTATTCCATTGTTTGAACATATTCTTGCACGGCTGGGAAGATAGATCACCTTTACATGTTGCTCAGAGATCCTTAACTAAAGACCTAGTTATGCTGACCAGAAACCTGATCAGACCCAAAGTTTGATGCAAGGAGTTTTCTCATATATCTCCAGCAACCCATATGTCTTATCTAAAAACTGGCCCCACACTGATCAATCAGCTATTGTTTCCGTGTTCCTTTGATCATTTACAGACACTTGGGGGAGTGAGATATCTCTTTTTCTGTATTCAGGAAATTGTACCTGTTCATTCTCCCCCTTCCAACTTGGAAAGTCCCTAATCTTTCTCTAATTAGAAATCAGATTACCTAATTTTGTATCATGGTAAATTGTTTTATTTTAATTAACTGGTCTTCTTTGATTGTTTTTAACAATTGTCTCCCCTGGTATTTGGGGTCTAGTGCCAAAGCTGAGGAAGGCAACTGGTTCAAATTTGTTAGGCAATTGACACACATTATTTAATAAATGGATATGTTTGTAAGCCTGAACCTTTGTTTCCTCAGTCATTTTTCACCTGCTACCCTGGTCAAAAATCGTCAGTGGTTCACTACGTCCTTTAATATAAAGGTATGACCATCGAGGGGCAGCTAGGTTGCTCAGTGGATAGAGCATTGGCCCTATAGTCAGGAGAACATGAGTTCAAATCTGACATCCAGAACTAACTAGCTGTGTTGCCTTGGGCAAATAACTTAACACCATTTGCTTCAATTCCACATCTGTAAAATAAGCTGGAGAAGGGAATACTAAATCACTCTAATATCTTGGCCAAGAAAACCCCAAATGGGGTCAGAGAGAGTCAACAACAATAAACATCTTACCCTCCACGGTCCAGTTCCAACTTGCCTTAGAGATTACATATTACATTTCTTCACCAAATGTACATTCCAGTCAAACAGGACCATCTTCTACCTTTTAGCATTCTCACAGGTTGTCCCTCAAACCTAGAATACAGTCTCTTTCTCTTCAACTACTTGTTTAGAATTATTCTCTTCCTTGAGGGCTCACATCACTTGTAACCTCTGGGAGTAGGGTGTGAGGAGTGGGTCTTTGCAACAAAATGAGACCTGTTATAAATCACTGAATAGGAGGTTTATTTTGCCTCAACAGCAAGGATATGCAACAAAGATGCAGCAGTGCTTAGCTTCAGTAGGAGTGTTCACTCCTACCACCCCTCTTCCAGCACCTTCCTTACTTATGGAAATTTGTCTGGTAGCTGGGCAAGGTGTAGTAGGTAACTCCCAGTGAGTGAAATTTTTTCATGCCTTGGGTGACCAGGAAGCTAAAGGGAGGCTGGGACCAATTAGTTCCCAGTGACAACTCTATTGCCTTTTGAGGAAATCTCATCCTTCTTGGGGAGGACTGAATGGAGGAAGAGATTCTTAACTGTTTTCTATATCATTGACTTCTTTTAAAATCTGGTGAAGCCTATGGACTCCCTAATCAGAATTTTAAAAAAGCAGTAATTGAAGGAAATGCTAAGTTTCAACTGGAGGCTGGTGAAAATAAATATGCAATCCTCTCCCTCTTTTCCTCCCTTCCACCCATCCAAGGGGTTTGCGGACCCCCAGTTAAAAAACACTGTTCAACAGAATAATGTAACTTTTTTTGTGGCAGTGGCTTCTTTCTTTTGGTTTCTTTGTGTCTGCCCCACACATAGTAGGTGCTTCATAAACATTTGTATAAAATGAACAGAAAAGAAATACTTGTCCTAGCTAGTATTTGGCTCCCCATCTAACATTAAAATTATTAAGATTGTCACACCTCTTTAGATTAAGCAACAAACTCTTCAGAGTTCAGATTTTCATTGCTTGTTTACCACTTTGTGGGAAATGCAATTCAATTAACAATATCTACAGTTTAGAGGTGGAAGATATCTTATAGAATATCTAGTCCAACTACCTCATCTTAAAGATGAAGAAGCTGAGGCCCCAAGCGGTCAAGGTCACACAGGTAATCCTGTCCTGGATCACTGCTTTGTCAAGGCAGAGAGACTGGTGTAGCTCAAATGAGACCATAAGCTATGCCATGGAGGCTTACCCAAGATGGACAGGTCACAGTGAAGAGTTCTGACACATGGTGATCCACTGGAGAAGAAAATGGCAAACCACTCCAGTATCTCTGCCAAGAAAACCCCATTCACAGTGTTAAAATGATAGAAGAGTTAACACTAGAAAATGAGCATGCACATGCAACACAGTCACATACAAATTTGTGCACATACATCATACGTGTATATATTCATGTGTACATGTATATATGCAATACATATATACAGTATACATACATGCATATAGGCAGACACACACATACATGCACACACACATAGACACACAAGTTCAAGAACCCCTGACTTAATTGCATACATAAAGTTTCTAAAAGGCCTAAAACTGCACTAGACTTTTGAGACACTGTGTAATACACAAACGAGGACAGTGAGGCCCGCGACAGGGGATAAAAAAGGAAGCCGCTGAAGCCTCAGGGATCCTGACCTGGAAGACCCTGGGCCTCAGCATCGCTCCCGGTCCGGGTCCCACCTTTCAGAGGCGCTAGCAGGAGCCCACTCCCCAGGTGGAGGCCCGCAGTCCCTTATATGCCCCCGCGGGGGCGCGCACGCCCCAGGGCGCGCTCCCGCCGGGTCGATTTCTCTGGCCTGCGCGGTGCGAGGATCGCCGTAGTCATCGATGACGGGGGCGCGCTCGCTCGCCGGGCCGCGGGGCCGCGGACGGGAACTGCAGTCGGCGGCCATCTTCTTTCCCAAGCCGGCTGCTTCTTAGTGCGGGTCCGGGAGTCCGCCACCTCGGGTCTGGGTGCCCCGCGGCCTCGGTGGCGACCAGTAGTAGTGGCGGCGGCGGTGGCGGCGGCGGCAGGGGGCGAAGAGGAGCCGCCCTCCGCCCGGGTCACCGTTACCACTCCCTAGCGCGTTCACTCCCCACCCCCCACTTCCTTCGGCCGCCCCCCAGCGGTCCCCGAGGGCAGAGAGACTGGGGGGAGCCCCGGCTCCCCTCCCCAGCCCGTTCCCCGGGCCGCCGCCGCCCCTTCTCTCCCCTCTGTGGCCTCGGGCAGGGCGAGCTGAGCTGGGGTCCGGTTCCCCTTCCTCCTGCCCTCCCCACACCCCGCGGCCACACCTGTCCCTTCCTCCCAGCCCACCCCCAGACCGTGCCGAGGGTCTGCACTCACCTCCTCCTAGATGGGATAAGCTGTAAAGATGTTTAGCTTTGAAGGGGAGTTCAAAACCAGGCCCAAGGTGTCCCTTGGAGGAGCAAGTAGGAAGGTAAGAGACCTGCCTCTTCCCTCGGCCGCCCGGGATTCTCGCCACATCTCCCCTTCCCCCTCTTCTCCCCCTGCTCCCCCGTCCTCCTACCCCCAGGAATAACACCCCCACTGCCCCCCATCCCCCCGTTTGCCAGCCCCGGGGCCCGTGGGGTGCCCGGCTTGTGCCCTGGCTCTCTCCTTCTCCCGTCCCCATCGATGCCCTTCCCGTGGAGACACCTGAGGCCCCACCCCGAAGGTGGTGGTCTGGGTGATGACCCTTGGCCGAAGGGTCCGGGGGCCCTTTTTGTCACCCCCCAATTCTCCCCCCCCGGAATGGGGCTTTCTCTTTGTTGTTAGTCATTGGCACCGCTTGTTCCGCTGTCTTTTAAGTTTTCAATCAGATGGAAAAAACTTCTAGTCACCAAGAGGCCGGCTCACTTGCATTTTGCTGTTTTTAGAGCGACGGTTTGAGTGCTTTTAAACAGGGCAGAGTGAAGGCATTCGGTTGGATAAATCTTAGGCCTTCTTCCCGGCGGTTTGCTGTTTTAGAGTGATGTATTGAGCTCTTTTTAAAAAGGGCAATAAGAGAAGTATTTTAGTTGGGTTTTGTTCAGCTTTAGGATTGTCTTTGGCCTCATAAGGGAAGATCGAAACCAACTGAAAATAGTTCTAGTTAGCAACATTGGCATTTCCTAGGATTGGCAATTAAGTGATGGTTTCTGTGTTGTCATCCTAGGTGAGAAACTGTTTACATCATCCGTGATGATTCTGTTCTTCTATTATATATTTAGGGAGTATTTAAAAAGACTCTGAACCGCTAGGATTTAAAAATCGTGTTTTGACAGCTTGCAGGAATGACATAATTTTACCTTAGAATCAAGGAGAATTTCTGTCCATTGCATTTTTCAGATAGCAAGTGTGCTCTGGATAAAGGGGAGACTTTTTTTTATAACCTTTGCTAATGTCACGCTACTGGTTTTCATTAAGCCACATTTTGGGGGGTTTTTGAGTCTCAAAAGTTAAGAAATTTTAATATGGAGAAGTGGCAATTGGGAGCACATATCTTTTTAGGAATAAACATTAGGTATTTTTTGCACCTTTGCCACCAAATTGTGATTGCTTTTTATAATGTCTTCAGTACAGCAAACATCAAACTCATCTGTGTAGAGTAGCAAAGCTCCTGGTGAGATACAGTTTAGATTGAGCTTGATTCATTTACAGTCTAGTGGAGGATACTATACAAGCAACTGTTTCGTATTGCATTAAAGTTGCAAGACAAAGTGCAGTGTAGAACCTGAGGAGTAAAACTGTTAATGCTGAGATGGGGATCAGTGATGACTTCATGATGGAGTGGGAGTTTTGAGTTGGGCTTTAAAGCATGCAGCAAGTTAAGTTGGGATGGGGAACAGCTTAAGCAAAGGCACAGAGGTAGGATAATATAGGCCAAGTTGGGGTGTGTCTGCAGAAAATGGTCCAGTTTCAATGAAATGTAGAGTTCATGGTGGGGGTTGTGGGTGTGTAAATTAAACAATCAACAAACATTTATTATGTGCCTACTATGGGCCAGGCATTAGAGGCACATCTGCAGGCATCTGGAGATACAAATAGAAATAGTAAAACTCACTGCTCTTGATCTTGGACAGCTAAGTGGTGCAGTGGATAGAGTGCCAGGCCTGGAGTCAGGAAGTCTCATCTTCTCAGTTCAAATCTGGCCTCAGACCACTGACTAGCTGTGTGATCCTGGGCAAGTCATTTACTCCTTTTGCCTCAGTTTCCTCATTTGTAAAATTAATTGGAGTAGGAAATGGCAAATCACTCCAATATCTTTGCCAAAAAAACCCCAAATTGGGTCATGAAGAGTTGGACATGACTGAATAGCAGCACTTTTAATCTTACATTCTTGAGGGAATGGATGGGAAGGGGAGATAACATTTGTGTATGCCTGTATTTATATGTGTGTGTGTGTGTGTGTGTGTGTAGATACATAGACGTATACACACACATACATATGCACATACACATTGCCTTTTGGATATTTTCAACTGTCCAAAGCAGAACTCATTATCCTTTCCTCCAAACACACCCCTCTTCCAAACTTTGCCATTTCTGTGGAGGGCCATTTTCTGCTCAGGTGCTGCTAGGTGGCATGGTAGGCAGGGCTTGGAGTCAGGAAGACCTCTGTTCAAGTTCAGCCTAAGACACTCACTGTCTCTCACTCAATCCCTTATCCATTCTGTTTGCCAGAGTCTGTCAACATCACCTAATACATCCTCTTCTCTCCTGACATTGCCATCACTCTAGTGTAAGCCCTCATTCCCTCATTCCTTGTTTAGTAGTATAGCCTGGTGGTGGGTTTGCCTGCCTCTTGTCTCTCCCCACTCTAATCCCATCCACCATTCTGGCACTAAATTGATTTTCCTAAAACACTGGTTGGTTAATGCCACTCCCCTACTCCATAAACTCTAGGGGCCTTCTTTTGTCTCCTAGAATAAATACAAAATGATCTGTTTGGCGTTTGAAAGCTAGGGGTGAGCGCAATGGCAGTGGGCCACCTTTTCAGTCTTATTACACTCTACTTCCTAACCTTACTTTTTGGCCTCCTGACTGTACCTTGAAGAAAACATTCCTTCTCTGGCCTTTGGGCATTTTCCACTGGCCTGTGACTGGAAGGCTTTCCTTTGTCAGATCCTACTAATGACCTCCCTGCCTTCCTTTCTAAGTCCCAAACTTCTACTGGAAGCTTTCCCTATCCCCTCTTAATTCTAGTGCTTTTCCTCTTTTAATTATTTTCTATTTAACTTGTATATAGGTTGCTTTCTATATATTTGTTTGTTGTCTCTTCCATTAGATTGTAAGCTCCATGAGGGCAGGGACTGCTTTTTTCTTTGTTTTGTTATCTCTAGTGCTCATAGTAGATGCTTAATAAGTATTTATTGAATTACTAGCTGTGTAACCTTGGGCAAGTCATTTAACCTCAGTTTCCTCCATTGTAAAGTGGGAATCATAATAATAGCTACCTCCCAGTGTTGTGAGAAATAAATGAGATAATATTGTAAAGTGCTTGGTAGGCAAGGGTACCATGATCCTTTCAGTCACCTTGGCATTGTTCTTTACTTCTCACTTTGTCACCACCACTCATATCTAATCAGTTGCCAAGCTTTGTGGCTTCTAACTCTACAACATATCTCAAATTTCACCCTTTCTGTTTATGCAGTTACCACCTTAGTACAGGCCTTTATCATCTTTTCCCCAGACTTTTAAAGTAGTCTTTTAATTGGTCTTCAGGACTTAAATCTCCCCACTCCACTTACCCTTCACACAGCTGCCAAAGATACTTCTTAAGAACAGGTCTGGGCTTGCCATAGTCTTTTGCTTAATAAATTCTAGTTACTAGGCCTTCTAGGTCCTTGGGTGCAGCCTTTTGACTGAGTCCAAGTTTTGCAGAACAAAACCTTTTATTGAGGAGATTTGTTTTGTGAAGTTTGGATTCAGTCAAAGGGCCAAACTTGAGGCCCCAGGTTCCCTACCTCTGCTCTAGTAGCTTCTTCCTTCACCATCTGGCTCCAGCCTACCTTTCCAATATTTTTATATACTGCTCTCCTTTACAAGTAGTACAGGCAGTTAACATGACTTTCTTGATACTCACATGAGACTTTCACCTTCACCTTCAAGGCTGTCTATCTCATAGGCCTTAAATGTACTTGATAGTTTCTTTAAAAGCTCTGCTTATGTGACAACTTACAAGAAGGCATTCCTGATTCCCCCAGGAAGTCCTGTT